GACCCCCTGGGAGCAGAGCAGAGCCCACCCTGCTCTGGTGTCTGTTTGTGGGTGTGCTGGGGTAGGGACTGCCAGATAGGAGCCCATTTCACTTACCTGGAGACCTCTTACAGTAGAAATAAAGGGGCTCCAGAAGGGGCTCTCCCTGCCCTGCAGCCCCAGTACCTGCTGCCTTCCCTGGGCAATGTTGCCATTGCCCTCCTGCCATAACCTGAGGATGCTCTGGTGCTGCTTCTCCCTTGATCTTCCTCACCCCATCCACACCAGGCAAAGGGAAGGGTTTCTTTGTGCTCTTGCTGTGCCTGTTTGCTGAACAACTGAAACATCGCCCAGCACACCCAATCCAAGGGCTTTCATGAGCCTGGGACCCACGCAGGAGAAGAACAGGCAACCGAAATAGCAGGGCAGGGGCCGTAATGAGTTCCTTTGCAGAAGTACCAAAAAGGATGCTGTGCCGAGGAGGAGAAGCCAGCTTTAATTACCTCTGACTCTGGTATGCTGTGGGAAATGCGCTTTTAATTACACTGGAGTGTCATCTATTTTGCCAGTCAATCCCGAGCAAACTAATTTAGTGTTGAAGGCAGCATTTAATATCTGCTTTGAATATGTCTGTGATATCTGGAGCAGTGATGGGAGGGTGATGCCCGACCCCTTGCTGTTCCTAGCAGTGTCCTGTGGACGTTTTGGGAGCGGGATGGGACCCCAGGCTGAGCCCCACTGCACCCAGCAGCTGATGGGTGAAAAAAAACCCCTGCCAACCCTTCTTTAAGGTATAAATGACAGAGGAAGGTGATGATAATTGGTATTTAAAACCCCAGGGAAGCAGATGAAATGAGTAAGTACAGGAATGGAGGCCAGGACCAGCGTTATTTTTTGCAATAAAATGGTCAAAACCACATTTCCATCCCGGTTTTCACAGGGCTGCGTGTTTTCTGACGAGGCACAAGCTGAAACGATTCATTTCGTTTTCTTGCTTTGTTTAAAGTGGAAATGTCTCAATTTTGGCTTTGGCATAAACGCAAAGTGTAAAGCTCATGGAATGGTTGTTTCGATGTTATTGAAGCAAAATGTTTTTGCCTTAGTAGAATTAAGTGGTTCAACATCGTCAAAACGAAGTTCTTGGATGACTCCCAGCCCAAATTTTTCATTCTAAAAGAAAATTTTGGCTTTTCGTCCAGATTTGGAACAAATAACATATTTTAAAATTCAGTTTCCCACAGAACGGAAATTTCATCATCCAACCCTTTCCAAGGGGCTGGAAACCAGGAAAATGTTCCTCCGAGAGGGATGTGTTTGTCCGGAAGGTGGATTCCCAGGGGAAGCGTGGGACGCTCCATTGTGCTGAGGTTGCTTAAAAGCAGCCTGGGTACAACAGCAGGGACCGGTCCCATGCTCCGAAATAGGAACTGGAGAGGATCATACCCGTGCTTAATTACACCATGCAGCAGCTTGTTGAGTTTATGATCATGGTCAAAAGCTGCCAGGGGGAGGGGGGCGTCCCTGGTGATCTGGGGAGCAGAGCTGGAGCACCGGGTGCAGGCAGTGGGGCTCTCGCTGCCCGCTTTGCCCTGCGGGGTGCTGGGGATCTCAGGTGCTTTTCTGCCCCCCAAAACAAGGAACACCTTTGTGGGTGAGGGCTGCGCTTGATGATGGGTGAATCTCCAGCTTTTGGGCATTTCCTACCAGAAACGGCCAACGCTGGCGAGCAGCTCCTGGCCGATGGGGTCAGAGCTCCCGTGCAGCGAAGGCGCTGCCGGCTCTGGGGTGGTGCAGTCTGGAGAAAGCAAAAGGGAGCGACTCGCTTTAGAGATGAGGATCTGGGGAGCAGGAACGGGCCATGGTTTGGCTGGGAACTGACTCTGGAGCTGGGGCCCTTTTCTGCACAGGCACGAGTGCTCCTCAAGGCTGGAAGTGCCCAGAGGTTTCCTCTGTGCGACCAGTCCCTCTGCGTGGGTATTTTTTTTTTTTTGTGCAGAATCTGCAGTTTAGAAGAATAAAATCTGGTCCTGACCTCCGGAAGGATTAGAACTATCAAGCAAATGCGTTTGTCTTCCATGGGACCGAACTGACTGTTCCTATTCCCATTGTTCCCAGAACAATTAAGTCCTCCAAAATGAATTGAGGCGGGAGAGGCGGGGGTGCCCGGGGGGAGAATTCTCCATACATTTAAATCATGCCATGAGCCAACAAAAGGCAGGAAACTTGGAGCTCGAGCTCACACTTGCTCACAGACATGTAGAAAACAAGCGCTGCAGAGTGAGCTGTCGCTTGGGATTTCCTGGCTTTCACCCCCAGTTTGTTGCAGAATAAACAGCACTTGGCTGCGGGGAGGAGAAGGGAGGGCTGGCGAGGGGCAGACCCGGCTTCGTTTGCTTCCCTCTGTTTTGATTTTTTCCTAAAAAATACAAAAATAAGCAAGTCCCTTGGGGTCAGAGGCACCACGGAGCCGTGGGTGTGAGCAGGAGCGGGCTCTTACCCTGAGCATGGTGCTGGGGTGGGGGTGATGTGTGATGGATGCACTGGGCAGGTACAACCCCTGGTCCCGGGTGCGCTGGTACCGGGTGGGAGCCCCTGACCGCAGGGAGCGGTGCTGGTGGGACGGCCGCGTGCTGGGACACCCAGAGCAGCACCCCGGGGTGTGCAGGGGGGTCTCTGAGGAGGCTCTGCTCTCGAGACCCAGTCCCCAGCAGGGCTGTACCTCGGGGCTGTCTGACGCCGCTCGGCTGTAGCGATGCTGCGGTTGTTGGCCTGGGAACCACGAGCAGCTCTTGGGAGGTGCTGAGCAACCTCTGCTGACGACTGCAGAGGGGCAGCGCGGGTCTTGGCGCAGTGTGCGCTTCCCTCGCAGAGCATTTCGGCCGCAGCAGATCTCTGTTGGAACCACTGCTCCCCAGAGGCCAAAGCTGCCTCTTCATTGTTACTCTTTGGGCAGAAGTGGCCAAATGCTTGGAAACCAGAGCATTTCAGTTTTGGAGAGTGGGTACGGTGCTTCATGAGGTTTGTGTTTAGGGGCCTCTGTTCCAGTGTCCCTGTCCCCAGCCCAGCTGCCATCCCATGGGGACTGGCAGGGGATGCCCCAGCCGTGCTCTGGACCGGGAGCCTTTGCTCTTAAATTGCTATCTTAAACCTCACTCTCCTCACAAGCCTCCATCACCTGCAGTGGCTCTTACCCTACTACTCTCAAAGTTTAATCCAGGCCCATCTATTGCAGATTCCAAGTGGAGCTCCCAAAAGGCCCCTGGGGATCTGGGGTGTGTTTTGTGCCGGGTTTGTCACGCTTACCACCCCTCTCTGTTCCTCCCAGCTGCCCGTCCCCATCGCGGTGTTTTTCCTGCTGTACAAGGAGCGGATGGTGCCGTGCTTCAGCAGCAGCAGCCACCCGCTGCTGTCGGCCGACGAGCTGGCGATGGAAGCACGGCCGGTGGAGAAGGACGACGTCCCCACCGCCGTGCAGAGACCCCAGGCAGCAGGAGGTGAGCTGGGGGTGCCTCTCCCATGGGTTTGGAGGGACAGAGGGAGAAAAAGCCGTGTTTCAGAGCATCTCCCAGCTTAACAAATAAGATTCATTGCTATTGTCTGAAGAAACTTTCCAAAACATACATGTGAACGTCATCCAGAAGTACCCAAACAATTCGGTGCCCAATTGCCCTCAATTTAGATGGGACATAACCCTGGGACAGAGGTTGGTATCCTGCCCCTGGGACTCCAGGCTCCTTTTCCCCAGGCTGCTCTACAACTAAACCCGGGCTCCCAAGTTGTTCAAGCACACGTTAAAGTTGTCCCCCTTCGTTTCCTTCTGGATTTTGGTCAGGTTTTGAGCTGGCTCTGCTGGCTGTTTGGTTTAAAAATGGTTCAGAATTTATAAATCTGAAAAGAATAAAGACAGCGCCCTTGTTTGAGGGGAAAAGTTAAATGCCACCAATAGTTTGCTCTTGAACTTGTGACTACTCCCTGTTTTGGGGACAATGGTGACATTGTTCTTTGCTACCCAAGAGGAACGTGTCAAAGTAAATCCTTCAGCTAAATAGTGAATCTCGGAAGCAATCATGTTTTAGGGTTATCAGCGTTCAGTGCTACTACAGAAGAGGTGGCTTTACCTGAACACTGGAAGGAAATGTTAGGGAATAGTTAAAGCGGAGGCAGTTGGATGTGGTGGAGCTGCAGTTGTCCCTGATGGAGTGGTTCTCTGGTGTCTGATAAGGTTGTGCTTGTCTGATGCATTTCCCTTAGCTGAGACACGGGTCATTGCTTTCCTCAGCCCAGCTGCCCATTTTCATACCACACATTGGAGCTTCACGTTCCTTAGATCTCCATCCTCCTCTTAAATGCAGTTGAGATCATCCTTAGAGAAGCAGGAAGGCTGTACACTGACTGATCTCAGACAGACGTCTGTGCTGCCAAAATCCCTCCTTCCCCATAGAAGTGGTGAGATTTCATCTTTGCTGTGCAGGGGCTGTTACCTTGACCCCAGCCCTTTGCACGTCCCAGCGTGGTGTGAGATGAGCACAAGGACGGGAGAGTCAGGGATGCTGTGGGTCCCAGGAGGGGACATCAGCCGTGTGTTTGTCACCCCTTTCCCCCAAGTTGGTTAAATGTAATTTATCCAAGAATGTGAGCCATCCTGGGCAGGGCTCTCCTGTGTGGGGATACCAAGGGCGAGGGGCTCTGAGCACGAGTGCTGTGGTGGAATGGGCTGGTTTCTGTTCATTAAGAGCAGGGCCAGCAACGTGCGGTTCCCAAGTGAGAAGAGGGGCACAAGCAGCTGCTGTAAGAGAAGTGGCAAGTGCCCATAAGCACATCTCTCTTCCTTCCAGAACTGTTTAGATGGGTAAAGAGAGGTCGTGCGGGTGGAGATGAGCAGTGCTCCACATCGTTCACCGTCCTCTGTGCGTCTCTGCCGTGCCTGAGCACAAACACAGTCCCCATCGCGGGCTGGCAGCCTCCCAGCCCCAGGACGTTCCAGCTGAGTTTGCTTTGCATTGTTCCTCACCAGGTCACAATGACTTCCTTAGCTGCTGCCAAAGCAAAAACTTCAGAGGGGCTTCTTACACCTACTTCGCAGTGCACATCACCGGGGCTCTTGTTCTCTTCATGACAGATGGGATTGTGGTGAGTCCAGCTGATGGAGGATCTCGTCTGAGTGAAGCTTTCTTCCTCCCAAATCGCTCGTAACAGCCCAAACCCAGCACAGCTCCTCGGGTCTAGCCTGGCTCCCCAGGGAGCTCATTCAAAGCCCATCATGGTCCTGCTTCACGGGAGGGTTTAGTGGCTTCTTGCAGGCTCTGTTCTTGCAGCTGGATTGCTGCTGCTGCCGCTAACCTGCCCGGTTCAGAGCTGCAGTTGTGCTGCTGTGTACGCAGTGCAGGTCTCCTCTCACTTCAGCCAAGAGCAGCTGCGTTTTATTTCATGCAAAGGGGTGGCTCTGGTTGTCAGATCTCCTGAGCCCTCACAACCCCAGAGAGGAGCACACGGGGATGGCGCAGGCTTCTCTGTAGCGGCCCTGATGGGTTTTGCAGTGAGTGGCACCTCTGTCTGGGTGAGGAGGACTCGCTCCTGCTGCCGAGTTGCTGCTCTTTTTCTTTCAACAGTTTTGTCTCAGTTCCCTCATGGTAAAACACCACTGGGTCTTAGCAAGGCGTGAAGTGGGGTCCTGAAAGATGAGCGGGGTTACAAAGCAGCTGTTGGACATGGGAACTTTCCAGGGCCCCCATCTTCGAGGATGATCGACTCTGGGCTCTTAGGTGTTTTGTTTTTGGAGTATGCAGTTTGAAAAGGACAAGACAGGGAAGGGAGTATTGCTACGGGTAAGAGCTTAGCATTTTACCAAGTGATGATGTTAAGTTTTGCCCGTTAGGAGAGCTTAATTCCTGTGTTGTACCTGTGGTGGAAGCCTGTCTCCAGCTGCTGCCCTCGGGAACAAGGTTCCTTGAGGGCTGGTAGCAAATCCATAGGTGAGCTCTGCAGCTCATCACAATATGGTGAATAATTCAGGGGCAGGCGTCAGTTAAAGTTGCAAAGCCCATAAATCTTCACAGCAATGTGACGAGCTGCTCTTTTCCCTGCAGGGAGAGTACTCGGGCTTCGTTTACAGCTATGCCGTGGAGGAGCCCCTCTCCGTGGTACATAAAGTGGCCGGGTACCTGCCCAGCCTCTTCTGGGGCTTCATCACATTGGGCAGGCTCATCTCCATCCCCGTGTCCTACCGAATGAAGCCAGCAACCATGGTCTTCATCAACGTGGTAAGGCTGGTTTTGCTGGGTTTGGTGTGTAGCTTTGGTCTGACATGCAGAGCTGCAGCTGCACTGGTGCTGTACCAAGGGCAGGATTGCACCGGGCGGTCGCAGCATCGCAGGCGAGCGGCATCATCGCCTTCTGCAGCGCTGCCTGCAGCCGACACCGGTGCACGGGGGAGCTGGGACATACAACACCACTGCTCTGCTTCTCTGAGCTTGCTCCTCAGTTAATCTAACATTAGATGTGTGAAAGCACCTAGCAAAGAGGCTGCCGACTTTATTTACTGTGCACACTGTCTTCTCTCGCACCGATGGGAAACGAGTGCCCGTGTTAGCCACGGGAAAGGGAGGGCAGACAGTTCAGCAAAGTCTGCTTAGGCTGTAGCAGCTGCCAGAGAAACCAATGTGATGTGAGGCTGCTTAAATTAATAAAACACTTGAAGAAAGGGGAAGGAATCCTTTAAGGATCTGTAAAAAAAAGATGCATGCAGGGATGGCAGACAACAGGGGATGGAGTTGTTCCCATTTACACTTAAAAAAAAATAGAAACAAGTGAGAAGGCAGCTAATTTACAATTTATTTAAACCAGAAGGTATTTTGGTAGCAGGTTTCACAGTTATTGTTGAATTCGGTTTCTTTAGAACCCAAATTGCCCTCTGTGTGCACACCCCTAATCTGGGCCTGAACGGTTTCAGAGCCACCTGGAGCTGTGTGGCGCAGCTCCCTCTGCTGTCCCTGTGCCGGCGCTCAGCACATCGCCCACGTTTGGCCGTGGTTTGCGCACCGCAGCCTGAGCTGGGAGCAAGGGTCTTTAAATGCAGTGACTCTGCTGCTGGGACTGATTTCTGAGCAGGTATTGAGAGCGAGTTAATTCTTAGTGCTGAGTAAGATGTATTCATGATTGAGAAGTGAATACTGTGGCAGCAGCAGAACTGTTGTATTTAAAGCTGCAGAGAATAAAATCTGGGTTTCAGGTATGATATTAAGTCTCTACCTAATGAAGCTGAGACTTAAGTATGAAATTACATTATTAAGTCCTGTTATAAAAAGTACCAAATTCTTTACTGTAAAGGTAGATGGACTTTATTTAGCTACTTACTTCAGGTTTTTTGGAGATTGTGATTCTTTTTTCCCCACTATAGTTTATTTTCTTTTCCCTATTTGGTACAACGTATCTAGAGCCTACTGCAGCTCAGCCTTTCCTCCCCACTGACCGTGTGTGTTGTCCACAGGTCGGAGTGCTGCTAACCTTCCTCCTGCTCCTGATTTTCTCCTACAGCGTTGTCTTCCTGTTTGTGGGGACAGCGTCCCTGGGGCTGTTCCTCAGCAGCACCTTCCCCAGCATGCTGGCCTACACCGAGGACATCCTGCAGTACCAAGGTGAGCAGGGTTTGGGGACCGGAGCTCAGGTACCATCACACCCTGCACCTCCTTCCCTCCTCAGGGATGCCAGGGAGGAAGCTCTGCTTTTGCATACGGTGTTTGCTCAAGCCTGTGGTCAGAAAAGCAGACTGCACAATCCTGGCTTCATGGTGCTGATAACTCCTGCGGGCAGGGACCAGGCTGGTTCTTGGCTTCCTGCAGCTCTCAGGGATGTACAGGAATGTCTGCTTTAGAGGCTTACGGGGAGAAAGTTCAGAAACCATCAGGCAGATGATCAGTGCACTGCAATCCCGGGGCTGGGCCAGCTCTCCCAGGTCTCTGGGGCAGTGACACAGCAGTGACAAATCTTTACAGCGCGGAGCAGCATCACCTCTGCGAGCAGGGACAAGTGACAGAAGCTGGGTTTCTGGCTTCAGCTTTTAACTTCCTGCACTCCCACAGGTCAGGAGAGGCATCTTCCACGCGAGATGGGAACACACATTACGTGTTTGTCCATGTGGTATGGACAGACCCATGGAGGAGCAGGTTAAAGCAGCTGCAGGGCAATCCTGCTGGCTCTTCCACCTCTTCCCTGCCAACACCACTTGCTCCGTTTCTTTGCAGGCTGCGCCACCACCGTGTTGGTGACCGGGGCTGGAATTGGCGAGATGGTGCTGCAGCTACTGGTGGGGTCGGTAAGTGTAGACAAGAGGTGCCCAAAACTGGCTGGGACTTTTAAATGGAGACCTTAGTCCTGGTTCTGGACAGCTGCTGGTAGTGCCCTGCACCACCCCTGAGCTGCTGAACAGTGAAGCTCTTGCTGAATGCTCATTAGGTATTAGTGCTGTGAGGACATCCCTGCTCCGTTTTTATTTTACTTTATTTTCCCCTCCAATTGCAGATTATACATGATCAGGGCAGCTACAGTTTCCTGGTCTGCGGGATGATCTTTGGAGGCTTGGCCTTTACCTTCTACAGTTTCCTCTTGTTTTTCCACAGGATGTACCCCAAGCCCTCGTCAGGTAAGAAAGCACCAGCACTCAGCCCTGCTTTATAATGAGAGGAAGAGTGGCACACACATTGATCCATAACCAGGGTGCAGCACTTCAGCAAAATGCAAGGAAATGTTTATTTTGCTGCTGCTTCCTGCCCCCTCTTCCTGCTTTGCCTTGCCCACAAAGCCTTGGCAGCCACAGCTCGGGGGTTGCTTTCTTTTCTGCCAGAGAAGCGAGGGATAGAGCAGGAACGGTTCTGGACGACAGGGGGGCTCTAAAGCACAGAGGAGCTGAGCTGTGGGCGAAAACCCAGGGAAGAAGTGGCTCTGCCATCCACAGGCAGTGTCAGGCTCTTGAGAAACGCCTCAAAAAGCGTTTCTATTGCATATTGCCTCGGTCTGCATGCGCTGTTTGCTTTTTACAAGCACCTTTTGTAAAAGGAGCACTGCGTGACAGGCAGAACACTTGTCCGGGTCACTGGACATGGAGGCCTTTCTCCCATGACCAGTGAAGTGACCAGACTGGTGTGGTAGGTGATAAGCAGCAATTCCCTTACAGCTCAATGGAGTTTTACCTTCAGCTGAAGTGCCTGATGTCCGTTTTGCAGAGCTGGATGATGCCTCACCTGACAAACCAGCAGTAACGGACAACACTGGACAGTACCAGCGCTAAAGAAGTGGCCGAGCCCTAGAGCAGCAATAAACCAACACTCGATTAAGCGTTACCGTGAAGGATGATTTCACGTTTAATGACTGAATCATGCAAGTTTTCTGCAATCAGAAGCACATTTGATTGGGTAAGTCAGAATCAAGAAAACATCCTAGAACACTGCGGCAAGCAAAGCACAAGTTGCCCGTGTCACCCGTACTAAAAAGACTGTAAGTGCTGGAGGGAGCTGTGTCTGCAGGGCTGCGGTGTATGGCAGGACGAGGGGAGCGCAGTTACTCCTGAAAATGAACCGTTTAACCACACGGAGGGTGGGAAGGAAGAAAAGGTCTCTTTGTTCCCTGCGTAAGACTGAGTATCTGCTGGCTTAGTCACTGGACTGAACAGGATTTTCCTTTGGCCTCTAACGTACCCAACGATTTACAGCACAGAACTGGATCTGAATTCACTTTTATGCAACACTGCCTCGAGCATCCATCACCTCCGGGTGTCCTTCCTTGGGGAAAAACAACAAGCGGCAGAGCCCAAGCGCGCAGCGGTAGCAGGACCTCTCTGTATTTGCACAGTCGATTCTTGTCTATGGCACAGTATGAGACGTGTTCGCCAAGACAGCGTCTTACTCAGCATGCTAGGGCCTCTTGATTATTAAAATCATTAGCTTTTTATTTTCTTGAGTCAAGAATGAGTTGCCGTGGTTTGTTTTGCTCTAAGTCACTAGTTCAGCTGCTTCAGGTGCAGTGTCTTTTAGGATGGTTTTATTTCCAGCTGAAGCTCACACAGAGGCATTGGGAGCCAGCCTCCAGCTGCCTCACCTGTGCAATACTCATTACCAGGTGCCTTCTGTAAGGTACTCGCATACCCACGCATGACCCGGTCCAGGCTCCGCAGAGAGGACTGGCTGTGGAAGAGCGCAGAGCTGCATCCATCTCTTTCTTCAGTGAGCGAGCGGACATGTACTTTTTGCTTTACCTGCTGTACGTGGATGTACATATGTACGTGTGTATATAAAGCAGTGTTTAATTAAAGGTGATTGATTGATTGCTAGATCATGAGTGGGCTCAGGTAACTTCAGCCGTTTCTGGCCAAGCTGCTGCCTTCACCAGTCTGGCTTCTGAACGCAGACTGGATCTGGCAGCTGTTTGACTTAAACCGTTCCTAGCATTTCTGTTTATCCAAGCAGTAGATCTTACCTTGCATAAAACACCTTCACGAGCTCCCGGGGTGGTGCTGTAGAAAAGCTCTCAAAAAGAGCAGATCTGAACTGACTTTGTATGCCCTGTGTGCGCATTAGGCCAATGCAGGAAGGAGGTGAATGCAGCTGAATTTGGCGTTTAACTCAGGTTTAACTCACAGTTTGTGCTGTAATTCTCCTCTGGCACCACAGGATGCCACTGTAACTCTCCTTGAGATACCCAGAATGAAAATGTGGTGTACAGCAAAGCCCCTTTGCAGCAAAAACCTGATGTGTTAACAGAGCCCCTCCATCCCCTACAGAGGAAACGAGCACAACCACCACAATGAGGGGCTATTGGGCAAGGACTCTACTCAAACTATGTGTGTATATTGCACCAGGGGCTGTCAGCTGATAAATAGGAAGTGTGTCTTACTATGTCCTTGCAGACTGATAATACATCACTAAATCCTATCGCGTCTCTTTCGTTCAAGTGACAGCTCACATCTCCACTGTCTGCCAGCACTGCAAAGGAAACTCTCCCCCCTAGAGAACAGTACCTGATGTGGCCAGAAAAGGCCCGTGCAGCCCCACAGCAGCTCCAGCCCCGTCCATTCACACGCGGTGCTGCTGTGCACGGCAGGGTGAGCGCAGGGGCTGCCCAGCGCCCTCAGCATCGCCTGAGGAGCTGCCCTGCAGCTGCCGCTTCCGGCTTCCTCTGCTGCAAACAACAGGCAGAAGAGCAGAAACTTTGTTAAAAATATTTATTTAAAAAAATACAATTGTTTTGCATGTCTGGTTGCACATAACTATTAACATATGATTGACTTGAATAATTTGCTACAATGCTTTTTTTTAAAGCCAGCTTGCATTATACAAAGCAAATCCCTCTGTCAGTTCTTACGTAAAATAGTTTTTCTTTAACTATTCCCACCCCATTTTTTTTTTAAAAAAAGATTTCAATACATTGATTTATTTTATCTTTTTTTTTTTTTTTGCACAAAAATTGAAGCAATAGAAAAGTCACCTGATTTCTCAGGAAAGACCTCCACGATGTTTGAACAACAAGTGCCAGGACGCCACTCTTGCAAAGCAGCATTTGTTACTTTGAAGTGTCTTTACAGTGCACTTCCTCCAAAGTAAGTTTTGCATCTCAGACCTTTGCCTCCACGTTGTATTCAAACCTGAAATGTGTTCAAATGACTGCATATCTGCTATAACCAAGTCGGTCAGACTCTTTTAATACATCAACACGCTGAAGGTCTTCCTAGTTTGTTATCTTGGAAGGTTAAATAAAAGCAAATTTAGTAACACTGAACAATTACTGAAAACTTTGGCTATTTATGTACTTGCATTACATACCAGCATTTTTTTAAACACAATGGCATTAAGATACTCTTATTATAAGGTATTATTTTCAAAGAAAGTAAGACTGAGAAGCAATTCTGTCCCGTGCAGGTCTACCCCACTGTGACAGCACCAAAGCGGTGTGGGGTCACAGCTGCCCCCAGGACCCTGTCTAGAAAAGGGCTCCAGTGGAGGAAGCCAGACACACTACAGCATCACCTGCTTTGTCTCTTGACTTGGTGCTATATTTATATTTATTTATATATTTATATATATATTAAATGCAAATTCTGTTCTGGAAAGAGTAACTGAAAGTGTTATCGCTGCTGCTTTCAAAGTAATTTTTACTGCTGACGGTTCTACTAAAGTTACAGGAATGTAAAGCAGAACCCATTTTGGTACAGAGGAGTCGACTGAGCGACTGCTCCGTCTGCCCGAGCAGAGCTGCTGAGGGCAGGAACACCACAGCCGTCGTCTCGCTGATGGACAAAGAACCCGGGCTGACCCAAAAATTAACTGAGCAAACACTGAAGGCATCAGAAAATCACTTTCCAAAACAGACGTGCACTTTAAAAGCAACAGGACAACTTCACACGTTACCACAGCATGGTCAGCTGCCTACGTGCTCTGAAATTTAACCTGAACTTCCCCAGCTCCACCTGAGCCACAGAAAAGCCTCAAATAGGGCAGTGGAGCTGGAGCAGCGGCAGCGACCGAGCCGCTCTGCTCTGGTTTCCTGCACTCGACTCCCATCAGGGCTCCCAGGACCAATCTCACGCTGGTACCGAGCCCTGTGCAGCGTCCTTCCCATCCCACATCAATCCCTGATGCACGTTAGGGGAGACCCCCACTGCCCTCACCGTACACGCTGCTAGAGTCTTCCCATTTGCTCATCTCTCTGATTAAGAATATACTTCTCAGCTACAAAAACAGAGGGGGAGGAGGAGATAAGCATTAAATGTGCTACTGTACTTATCACAAAACACTGTGACGTACATAAGGCCATCTGGTAACACTGCAACAGAATACAAACAAGATTTTTAAAGGGAGTTTTAGAATACATTTCTTTTTTAAACTACAATGAATAATCTCAACCCTGTTCACAGAGAATTAACGTTAAAACTAGTACATCATATATAGAAACCTCTGTGCAACTGAACAACAGCAGAACAAAAAAAGTCAACACAACTCTATAAAGCGGTTTCAAAGCCTGCAGATTTAAGACATGCTAGCCAAAAACTCCACACCACGTCTCAAGGAGCCTAGAGCAAACCCAGGTATCGTAACCCCCAGCACACAGCACACACCAGGACCATGCAGAGGCCACCCTCAAAGCCTTCCTGTGCTCACAAAGAGAGAAAATAATCCTAAACAAAGAGAAAAAAAACAAAGCTTCCAGTTATTGGTACAGCACTGCCCCGGGTGCTGCACAGGGGCTGGATCGGGCTCCCCACACAACGCCCCCACCTCTCCCCGCTGTGCACACCTCGGTGTCGCTGCTGAAAGAAAGACCCCTGTCTGCCGAAGGTTCAGAACTGTCCTGTTACACCCCTGCCAAAAACCCCCCTTTGAGATGAAAACCCTCTGCAACCCACGGTCCCGACAGAGGAGCAAGTGTTTAACTCCATCCTTTGTTCTAGGAACAAAAAACTACTCCAAGACACATTTAAGACACAATTCTTAGAAGGTGTGGCATACAACGACATCAAAGATGCACTGAAAAATAACCTTTGGCAACTAATTAGTCCACACTGTGGTAAAACTGATCTGAGTACTAAAATCAGAGAAAAAAAAGCCCAAAACCCCTCACCAGTGCGTGCAAAACAAGCGGTGGCTGCAGAGTGCGGTGTCGGCGTGGACACAAGAGGTGTTACCTGCACAGACACGTAACGCGCTCACCTCACACCCGCGTGTGCTCACACAAGGGAGCTCCTCAGCCCCAGCTGAACCACGCACCCAAAAACCAGATTTCAGCCCAAAGATGCATTTTGGAGATGTCTGGAGCAGCTCCACAGGCCAAGGCTGCTGCTGCTTTCTTGGGGAGCGGTGACCAAGAACAAACTCCTGTCAGTGTTACCTTTAGAAGCGGACGTCTTGCTGTCCCCAGAGGGAAACACCGCAGCAGACACAACCAAGAGGAAGCACCGTGCCCTGCCCAGCTTTCTTACCTTGCATGTCACGGCTTTTTTGCAAAGCACGGTTACGGTCAGCAAAGCTGCATGAACCTCGTGATGTGAGCATGTTCTGCCTTAGTTTGTTATCTGTGCAAAGGCGAGAACACCACTCCTTGGTTCAAGATCCACCGGACACCCAAAGCTCAGCCTTGCTGCTCAGACAGCTGGGACACTTCAACAGGAGAGCTGCTGATGCTAAACACAGACTGCAGAAACACGGCAGCGTGGCCGTTGCTGTGGCTCTGTATCCTGTTTTCCACCCTTGGACTAAAAGCAGGCTGAGGAGCAAAGATGTGGTTCTGTTCTCAACTACCCCTCTGCCCACAAGCAGCTTTTCTGAAGGGCTCCTGCAGCCAGCAGCGCTCACGTGAAGTGCAACGGGTCCAAGGCAAAGCCTTTTGCAGCAACAGCCCTGAGGACCACGTAAAACAACTGCCACGGCTTCAGCTGTTAATCCTCATCTGACAGCCTCTGCTCTCAGCAGATCCACCTCAGCACGGCACACATTAACCACGGCTCCACTCGTGGCAATAGCCCGAGGCTGCCGCGTGAAGCAGATCTGCTGGTGCTGCTCAGGCTACATGGCAGCCATTGCCCATTACTGTTTAATTAAATTCAAATCAAACCATAAAAATTCCTGTTTAGGCAAGACATACTGCTCCTCATTAAAACATCCCGAACAGCTTCTAAGCAACGCGACTGCAATTCCAATGGATTTCCAACTTCTCTGAGCGTAAGATCCCGTGGGGCTCGGGCTGTTTGTTTTCAACACCGTGCTCTGCGATTATTAAGACAAAATAAACCAAAATACCCACACCTGTGACCCCGGAGGCCAGAAGGGCACGTGTGCATTCCTTACACAGGAGAACTAAGGAACGAAACACCACAACATTGTAATGGGCACCCAAAACTCAGACATCAAGTTTCCAAATACCTGTCACCTGGGACAATGTTCCTGTACTACTGACGTAGTTGATCCTCACAGCTGACAATACCAAGATAGCCTCTGGATACAACACTGAGATGTGTCTTGTAAACAAATACGCATTAAGAATGGAAGCGGTTAAATCGCAGAGTAAAAGATGAGTACACACAAAAATGCTACAAAACGGTAGCAGAAGGTAACTAAAACATACACGAATAAACCAGGGGCAGCCAGCAGCCTGACCTCAGCACTAGGAAAGCTCCAGAAGCGGATCCAAACTCTGCGCCTGTGCTCACCTGAGAAACCCCATCAACGCACCAGGCCAGTCCCGACCCGCAGAGCTGCTCACAGGTGAGGCCATGGGGAGATCTGGCGTTGACGACCTCCCTGCGCTCTGCAGAGCTGCGGACAGGGCAGCACATGAGGAGCCTTCACTGTGGTTGCAACAGACACGGTAAAAACCAAGAGGAATCTGTTTGCTGGGGTCCGAAAACAAAGCAGGGGGAGAAATCACCCCAGACAAACTGACCAGCCAAAGCCTTTCCTATTCTAATGCATGCTCCATTATACCGAAGACTGCATGGATACTGAAGTCTTGGGATGCTCCAAGGTAAAACAATGAATTCTCAAATTTAAGGAATTTTGTCACTTCCTGACCTATTGCAAAATGCAACTTGAACGTGCCAAAGACAGTGCACAGGAATTACATTCAGCCGTCGCCGCTGAAGACCCATTTCTGAAACAAGGATCCAGATTAAGCTGCTCTTAATGAAAAACCACACACTTTCCTCCATCGCCCGCAATACCAGGATCACTCTGCAAACAGGTAGGACAGGACAAGTTTGGTGCTGCGGCCGCAGGGCGCTGTGAACGCGCTGGTCTCTGCTGGCAGCACACGTACAGGTCAGGAGCCCAGAAAAGCCAGACACGGCACCAGCAGCAGTGCGAGCTCTGCAGCCCCGCAGTGCCACGGGACAGCAGCGGTGACGCCTAAAAGGGATTTCCAGAAGCGAGACAGATGTTCAGCTCCATGCTCATCCAGTCTAATTGTACCACCGTCGTCAAAATAACCGATGCAAATATGACCAAGCACTCAACAATACCATGGCTACTTCAGCAACATGAACTGCAATGTCATAAAACGCTTCTGTAATGCTGCGTCATTATTTCAGACCAACACGGTACTTATACCCATTGCACAGACTGCTAACATGATAATTAAAAGAGAGCCTATATTAACCCCTACCTTCCCTACACTAAATTAAAAACAAGTTGCAACGAGCTGCAAACTGCTCCTGAAGTGAGCCAGTGAAAATACCAGCAATCCACGTCGCCGAGCTGCAAGAAGTCACAGCGACACTGTGCTGTCAGGAATGTGACCCGAAAAGCTGGCAGTTAGAGACTTCTTAGTAAATGTGTGTTTAATGAGGCAGCATATATACAAGATAAAATTACCTTAAGTGACCTGAAGTTGTAATGGAGAAAAGGTGAGCAAGCCTCTCCTCTCCCACCTCGTGTTCCCAACCGCCTCCTGACATTACAATCCTATACGAGACTTTCATGTTCCTAGGCAGGTGCTCAAGGAGCAAAAGCAATCACGGCCTCGGTGCTGTCTGTCAGGAACCCGGACGTCACCAACACCCGCGGGCTGCGTTTCCAAACTGACTGGCTCGGAAGAAGGGGAACGCATCTCAGGAGCGGCTATGGCAGTGCAATCTTACAGAGCTATCGGAGAAGAGCAGGAAACGAGGCCAAGCACAACCCAGAGCTGCCTCAGCATTTGGTTCTCTGCATACCTGTGCTCAAAGTGACACAGTTTACAAAACATTAAGTGCATGTGTGCACATACACAACTCTTAAACAAATAAACTTGGCTTTTCTCCATAGGGGACAAGGAAAGGGAAGCAATTAAATTGCAAGTCTTTAGTGCTCATGATTTTTAAATTCTAATCCTAGTCTGCAACGTTGCTCTCAAGTCCACGCATTCGGTGGGCATAAAATTGGCCAACCTAAAACAACATTGAAAGTGCCGCTATTTATATATAGCTATATATATTTCTAGAGCAGACTCGTAAGTCATCATGCAAACCAGAAAATTCAATTCCAGATGCCTGCTCTTAACTGTGATCTGCAGCTTGCTTTCTGCAGGAAAATAATAATAAAAAAGGTCAATATTGCACATTATCATTTAAGAGCTGCTGGCACAGGAACTTCATCCTGCATCTGCTGATGTCTAGAACGCAAAGCAGTTTTTTGCCTCTGGCGTTACCGAACAGGAAGACCGTTCACCACGTGAGCTCGCTCCCTGCCCTTACAGAAAGGCAAACCCTTTTCTCCCACCTCCCATGGGCAGGGGACTTGCTGGATGGACAATGCCCAAAAAGCAACTGCATTGCACCCACCCGTCCAGGGCGCCGTGTCGGGAACACGCTTAAGTGCTTTACACATCTCAACGCTAGAATACAGAAAGAGAACACCACTGCAGCAAATTAAGTCTGGGGTATTGTCACACGCTTTAAAGTGAACTCAGAGTCTGCAAAAGTGGCGAAAGGAGCACTCTGGAAAGCTGGAGGTCACTGATGTGTGAGCCAGGCGCAGCATGAACAGCCCACACCGTCAGCGCCTCTTGCTGGGAAGGGACAATCTTCCTCTGCTCGGAAAACACAGCCCGTGAGGATGCCAGAGGAAAGAGAGCGTCTCCACCTCCTTCCTAGGGGGTACTTCATGGAGATCACCTCACGTCACCAGCTCAGTACACAGAGGCAAAGAGAAGTTGCTGCCTGATGCCCAAAGTGGAGGGGCCCAGCGCCACCAGACCACGACATCCACTCCTTGAGGGACTGCGAGAGGAAAGTCTCTCTTCTCTCAGCCCTCGGTTCTTTTAAAAGGCCTCCTGAGGTTTAAAAAACTACAAATTTCGTTTCATCAGTGTTTCAAATGGCTCTGGAAACTAATCACACACACACGGCCACCCAGAAAAGCAACGCAAGCACAAATGTACAGTAAGTTGGTACGCTGCCGTACCTCTCAGCCAGCCATACACACTGAGCCGAACTTAATTCGGGTCTAAGTGCTTCCTCAAATAAAAAGAGCAATAGATTCAAAGCAAAACTTGAGATAAGAGCTGGTACAAGAGGAGCTCCTCCACTTCAGCTGTGGGAGAAGAGCAGTAACGTTAATGCTCAGATGTGAGTGTTCTCACCCACTGCTTGGGTCTGAAGCTCCAGCATCAGGCAGCAACCTCACCAAACGCAGACACCCCTCAAAACCTCCCGTAAAACCCAGCATCCTGCTGTCTTCCAGCAGTGAGATTACAGGCTTTGTAACAGGCCTCTGGCACAAGAAATGTTTGGACTTCAGCATTCAAATTTCTGAGAACTGAAAGGAACGGATCCCACCATTCATTTGCCTCCGCAGCGATGGGGAAGCATCCAGAAGCCAGCCAGACCACCCCTCCCCGGGGCTGGGCTGGGGGTATACAATGCCATTCAAAAACTGTCCGTATCTCAGGAACACAATCATCGAATATCCCTTGAGAATTTCTCCCTGCAAAAAGACAAGAGGTTTTTACAGCAGAAAAGACGGGGGGCTGCTCTGTTGCTGCAGAAGTTACCGGGCCCGAAGGCACAGTCGATGCGCGCACCCCTTTCCCAAGCATTTCCTGCAATGCCAGCTTCGATCAGGATGAGATTTCTTCTTGCCAAGCACAGGAAGCAGAAGAACAGAGGGGTTTTTTTTCCAAGAGTCACAGAGAAAAGACTTCTCTGGTGCCGTTTACTGCAGTCAGTGCAGACTCAGTTACTGCAACACCAACCGAAAATCCCTTCAACCGCAGGGAAGTCTTCCAGACCGAGGAGGGAAGAGAAGAGACGGGAGCCGCAGCTCCCATTAAGGCGTTTGCATATACATTCCCAACCTGGGTCTTCAAAAAAGGGAATTTTGCAAAATAGGCATTTTATCTGGGAATGGCAAAAACTATGATTGTTGATAATCTCTGTGGAATTATAAATTGCTCATTTAAAAAACATGGTTAAATATAAGTGTCCTGTCTTTCCCTTGCTCGCCAATACGTCCTTTCCATGAGTTCATGTGCTATGTCTTCTGCAGGTCAGGAGAAAACGGGCCGGGGGTAGAGGGTCCATCCAGTCCAGACAGAGTAAATGGGCCGTGACTGTTCAGCACTGATGGAAACTAAGAGGCAAAACAGAAATGATTAGGGGAGAGGCCATTTAAATGTACTGTTCCTCTCATATCTGTGCACGTAGGTGGTCAGGGGAAAATACCAAATCAAAACCGAAATGAACCCCAAAAAACCAAACCACAACAACAACAAAATCTCCCCAAACTTTCAAAGACTTCCTTGGCTGCCCCCAGGTAATTGATGTTTTAATGCCACTGCGCCACAGGCTGCATCAAGCCGGCTCCTGTAACCAGTGTCACCAGTGGGACCCAGTCCGTGACCAAGCACCAAGCACCGCCCGCGTCCTGAGCTAAGCCGTGACTTGAGAACGGGCTGCTGGGAGCAGGGTCTG